AGAGAGATGGGAGGAGAGAGAGATCATCGGCCAACTTTATTCAAGCCACTTTGTCGACGAAAATCCACTAGATTTGTTTATTTTTGAGAGATGAGTTTGCCCATGGTGGTTTCAAACCATTAAACAATTAGAGAAGGTAGATCGAAGCCAAAAAAAGAAAAAAATCCGATTTTATTTTGTATTTTTCTTTATTTTTGTGTGTATTAAAATGATTTTTAAGGTTTTAGATGTGTTTATTGGCTTTATTTCGGTAATTTAAAGGCGTTGGGGGAAACAATATGCCGAAATTCAATATTTAAGGGTCCGAAAGTTGACTCTCGATTTTTCGACGAACTTCGAATGACCTCGGTTCGTCGGAAGTTGTAGGGTTTTTTTCGGGCGAGGCAAGCTTGGCGCGGGGCACGCTTGCACGAGCCAACCACGCATGCCTCCCTCAATTAATTTTTTTTAAAAAAATTACGTGCAGCCTAGTTGCACAAACCAACCGAGTGCTTCTCTCCTCGTGTGTGTGTGTGTGTATACGAGAGAGAGAGAGTGTGTGTGTGTGTGTGTGTGTGTTTATCTAATTATATCAATTTTATTGTGATTTAGCTCATTTGTTTTTATTTGTTTTATTATTTTTATTATTTTAAATCTATAACTTTAATTTGCCATTTTTTTTCAAATTCTTATTCAATTAATTTAAATTTATATTTAATGATAGCTTCCATTTATTTTAATATTATTCATTGTTTTCTCATCCAATTAATTTAAAATTATATAGTCCTCAATTTTTTTATGCAATATTTTTTTGGTAATTTCAAACTTTAATTGTATTGTAATTTAATCCCATTTTTTTTAGTGTTTTTTGTTGATTATTTTTATTATTTAAAATTTACTACTTTAATTTGTCATTTTTAAAAAATTATCATCTATTTAATTTTAAATTACATTAAAAAATTAAAAATATTTTTTTACCTTTGATTTTATATATTTTTATACATTCACATCATAAAATATACTATCAGATTAAAATAATTTTTATCATACCGTCGCGTAACGTGGGTAAAAAATGCGGTACTATATTAAAAGAAACTAAAAGGCATGGGATGTTTATTGTTTTTAGACTTTCACTATCACCCATTGGTACTATGGACTGAGGGTTTTTTTTTTTTTTTTTTTGTTTATAAGCATCCTCTTTTTTACTTTTAATTACCATCACTGCAACTCGATGGATTTATGAAATCCACAGTTGCCTTTGAATGATTTTCATTTTCATTTTCTTCTTTAATCCTTTTTCACCATTTCACTTTTTTCTTTTCTTCTGCATTATAAATTGTCTTCGTTTTCATTCTTAATTATGTTTATTGCCACTCAATGGATTTGTGAAAATTTACTACTACCCTTAACTTATTCCCTTTTTTTATTTTTCTTTTACCCCTTTTCGTCAATTCACTTTCTTTTTTGACAGAGCGTTTAATGTTGCTATCATTGCATTTTTTCCTTTATCATTTCGTATGAATCATTAAATTGCCATTCTAGAATTAAATTATAAATTAGTCCCTCTTTCTTCATAAAACAAATTAATTAGTCCATCCGATTTCAAAAACTAACGTTTTTGTCCTTTTTTCTACTTTTCAATTTTTTTTTTTTTTACTTTTTGTTGTAAGAAATAGAAAAGAAAAAAATAGATAAAAATATAAAAAAAGATTGATGAGAAAAAAACATTTTAAAAAACAAAAAAGGACAAAAACATTAGTTTTTGAAATTAGATGGACTAATTAAATTGTTTTCCTAAGAAAGAGAGACTAACTTATAATTTACTCTAAAATAGCAATTTACTCATTCCTACGAAATAAGGAAGGAAAAAAAAAGGCAAGCTAATGTCCTATGAAATCAGATGGAACATTTTTTTTTTTAAAGAAATAGAAAAAAATAGATAAAAATATGGAAAAGATTAATAAGAAAAGAAAACATTTTAATAAAAAACACTAAAACAAAATGGATTTTTACTATTCATAATACTATTCACATACTCACAAATCATTATTTCTTTCACTATTCATTGAATTTTTTTCGATATTTTGGTCTTTAATTTCTCTCTCTCTCTCTCTCTCTCTCTCTCTCTATATATATATATATATATATATATATATATATATATTTCAAATTTCAATTGTATTATGATTTTGTTCCATTTTGTTTTAATTTTTTTATTAATTACCTATATTATTTAAAATTTAATACTTTAGTTTGTCATTTTTTTTAAATTCTCATCAAATTAATTTAAAATTATATTTATTGACAATTTTGATTTATTTTTCTATATGTATGGAATTTGAAATAAATTTTTTGAATATGATTATTTTTTCTTTTGAAAAATAGATTTATATAATTATTAAATTATAGTGGCATGATTAATATATAATTTATTTGAAATACATTTTTAGATTAAAATATATTTCCAAAAACGCAAATTAGTTAATTAATAATTGAAAATGGAATGTGAAAAGCAAAAAAAAGATGGTTGCTTTGCGCGTGCTCGTATTCAAGAACTGGCTATGTATAACATAAAAATAAAATAAAAAAATATTCAAGGAGGAAAAAAAAAGAAAAAGAATTCAAGTGTTTCATTTGTTTCTTCTTTATATAGTCAAAATTTATTGAAATCAATTTTATAATAATTTTTATTTTAGTCTATTAATTTCAAATTTAGTCAATATATTCCTTGCAAGTTAACCTTTTTCTATGGTGTTTTTTGTTTTATACTGAAAACTTTGAACCCACTCAGTATAGTTATGATGTATAAAAAAAAATATTGAATCGTTGTTTTTTTTATAAATTAACTATGTAACTACTACTATACTAAGCATTTACAATTTATTTATTTATTTTTTAATATTTTAAAATTAATTTATTTTAAACTGAATAATTAAAATTATATTTTGGCTTAACCACTCCATGATTCAAATTAATATAGTTTTTTTATTTTAATATTATTCATTTTTATACATAAATATATAAAAATTAAATTCATATTCTTTTAAAAATTAATATTCTCATCAACATTAAATAAAATAAAAAAATAATTATTTTATTTGTTCAATTCTATGTAAGTTCTATTAATTGTTATTTTAGTTTTTCGACATAATCTTATTAAATACTAAAGCTTTTTTAAAATTTTTATTTAATTTTTTAGTTAATAATCCATATATTAAAAAGAATAAATCATTTTTGTAACGAGAAAAAACCCAAATAGGAAATAGTTAAATACAAAATTTTGATTAAAAAATTATAAAAATATTTTTTTATAACTTTAATTTCATATATTTTTATAGATTCACACCATATGACAGACTATCAAGTTGAAATGATTTTTTTAAAAAATAATTTTATATATTTTATCCAACTCGCAGCGTAGCGCGAGTAAAAAAAAAAAAAAAAGCTATCAACTAAAGGAAAATGATTTTCCACTGTAACAATGAACAATGATTAACACTATTCATTATTGTACTTTAGTTTTTTTAAAAAAATTTCAATTCTTTTTGCGAGTGCTAGAGCCTTCTTTCCTCTCTTTTTTTCGTTTACTTGTTCATGTGAACGGTAAGCAGCTCCCCCTTTCATTTTTTTTCCTTTCTAAACACTCGAATAGTTTTTTTTTTTCTTTTTTTCTAAATTTTCGTCCATTTACTTATCACATGAACACTAAATGGCTAGGCCCTCCATTTTTTTCCTAAACATTGAATTTTTTTTTTAAAAAAAAATTTTCTTTTCTTAATAATGTTGGGTGTTAAAATTTTAAAGGAACCAATAATTAATTGGATGTTAGAATTTTTAAAAAAACAAACAATTTATTTCCTTCATTATTTATTTCTAAAACTTAAAATATCTAATTTTTATTTTGGTGTGGCCATTTTTTTATTTTCGTTTCTGAAAAGTGAACGATTTTTTTTGTTAATTTTCGTTTCTGAATAATTTTGGGTGTTAAAATTTCAAATGAACTAACAATTAATTGGGTGATAAAATTTTAAAAGAACCAACAATTTATTTCCTTTATTATTTATTTCTAAAGTTTAAAATATCTAATTTGAAAAAATAATGTTTTTTTTTTCAAAAAATAATTATGTCTATAAACACATGCATATTATATAAAATATTACTATCGCATAACATAATTTATTAATCAACAATTACATAAGATGTATTTCTCAAAAAAAATATATATATATATTAGAATAAAGAATTTTACTACTCATAGGTTGTCATTTATTACTATTTTCATTAATTTGTTATTTCTTTTAAATTCTCATCCAATTAATTTAAAATTATATTTACTCATAGTTTTGATTTATTTTAATGTTATTCATCCAATTAATAAAAACTATATTCACATATTTTTCAAAAATCAATATTCTCATCAACATAAAATAAAAAATAAAATATTTGTTCAATTCTGTATAAGCTTTTAGTAATTGTTATTTTTTTTTTACACAATCTTATAAGATACTAAATTTTTTTAAAAAAAATTATTTAATTTTCTTTTTAGTTAATAATTAATGGATTAACAAGGATAGATCATTTTTGTAAAGAAAAAAATATGAAAAACACAAATAAAAAATAGTTAAATACAAAATTTTTGATTAAATTTTTTTTTTTTTATCTTTGATTTCATATATTATTATAAATTCATACCATAAATCAGATTATTAAACTGCAACAATTTTTTTAAATGATTTTATATATTTATACGCTGCGGGTAAAAAATCTAAGTTCTTTTCTAGTTAATTTAGACGAATGCAATTTAGTTAGGACCCTGAGAACTTCTTTTGGTCGAGAGAAGACTTTTGACCAAAAGAAACTGATTGGAAAATTTGTGGTAGAAAATAGATTGTAAAAAGAAAGTTGCAGGAACCTTCAGGGGCTATTATTTCCACACTCTCAGGTCTATTTAAGAGCATTCTTTGCCACGCTCCCTACTTTCTCATGGCATCCTCTTCCTCTTCTTCTCCCGCCTCTTGGCAATGCAGGTATGATGTTTTCTTGAGTTTCAGAGGTGAAGATACTCGAGAAACTTTTACAAGTCATCTCTATGATGCTTTGCGTCGAAAAGCCATTGAGACTTTCATAGATAAGGAGCTTAGAAGGGGGAGGAGATCAGTCCAGCCCTTTTGGAAGCAATTGAGAATTCAAAGGCTGCAGTTATCATTTTCTCAAAGAACTATGCATCCTCCCCATGGTGCTTAGATGAGCTTGTTAAGATCGTCCAATGCCATGAACTCCATGGACAAAGGGTCATCCCAGTATTCTACCATGTCAATCCATCAGATGTGTTGGAGCAAACTGGGGTTTTTGAGGAAGCTTTTGCTGAACATGAGATAAATTTCAAGGAAAAGTCACTGAGGTGGAAGGCAGCTATGACAAAAGCAGCCAATTTAGCAGGGTGGGACTCACAGGTTGTTAGGTAATTAATTTTCTTCTTTAATCTTAGTTTCCTTTCCAATTTCATTCAATTTGGAACATTTTACTTTGCTGGAAACTATTATTTGAAGTCATATGCTTGTCCCTGTGAAATTCTGTAATTAATGCTTGAAAATTTAAGGGATATTTGTTGAAATCTACAATTTGCGTATGATATGTTAGAAATTGAATATGTAAAAAGCTGTGAAATTCTTATACTTTCACATTTGACAGACCGGAGTCCAGACTTGTTGATGATATTGTCAAAGACATTTTGAGCAAATTGAAAGAAGCATCAGCAAGTGGTTTAGAGGAACAGGTTGGACTAGATTCACGCATTGATCAAGTTAAAGGGTTGTTATCTATTGGAGGGTTAGATGTTCGCATTTTAGGAATTTGGGGCATGGGCGGTATAGGCAAGACAACTCTTGCTAGAGCTGTTTTTAACCAACTTGCGTGCGGATTTGAAGGTTGCTGCTTTGTTGAAAACGTTAGGGAAGAATCTGAAAGAGCTGGTGGATTAACTCGTTTGAGAGAGGAGCTTCTTACTAAAATATTGGAGGAAAGAGATCTAAGAATGTATCCACTATCTTCTGTTGAAGCTATTGTCCGTCAGAAAAAGGTTTTACTTGTTCTTGATGATGTGAATAGTTTTATGCAGTTAGAAACTTTGGTTGGAAATCGCCGTCGATTGGGTTCAGGAAGCAGAATCATCATAACAAGCAGAGATAAGCAAGTGCTCAGACAAATTGTAGATACTACATATGAAGTTGAGAACTTAAATTTCTCTGAAGCTCTTCAACTGTTTAGGAAGAATGCTTTTAAGCGAAAACATCCTGCAGAACAGTACGAGGCCCTGTCAAATTGGTTTGTAACATACGCTGAAGGTAATCCTTTGGCTCTCAAAGTTTTGGGTTCATTTTTATTTCAAAAGGGCATGAGCGACTGGCGAAGTGCATTGGATAAACTGGAAAAAACTTCCAACAAAGATATCCAAAATGTGCTGAAAATTAGTTGTGAAGATCTGGATATGGAAGAGAAGGATATCTTTCTTCATATTGCATGTTTCTTTAAAGGTGAGGATAGCGAGAGTGTGAAACAGTTACTGGATAGTTGTGGCTTCTCGACAGATATCGTAGTTGCTGTTCTCATTGATAAGGCCCTCATAACTGTTAGAGACAATAAGCTAGAAATGCATGATTTATTGCAAGAAATGGGCAGGGAAATTGTTCGTCAAGAATCAAGAGAGCCTGGCAAACGCAGCAGGTTGTGGAATCATGAGGATATCTATCAAGTACTTGTGAAAAATACGGTAAGATCCAAATGCATTAAACTTCATTTTTGCATTGCAGCTTTTAAGTGTGTCAGGATATTATTTCCACACTCTCAGGTCTATTTACACCATTCTTTGTCACACTCCCAAGATTAAAGTACTTGTGAAAAATACGGTAAAATCCCAATGCAATTTCATTTTTGCATTGCAGCTTTCAAGTGTATCAGGATAAAAAAAATAACATCTCAGCTCAACTTTAGGTATTTTCTAACCTTTGAATACTCTATTCCTTGTTTAATTGCTAGGGAACTGAAGCAATTGAAGGCATATTCCTGGACATGTCTAAAATAACAGAGGCACACCTAAATCCGAATGCTTTTGCCAGGATGTCTAATCTTAAATTCCTCAAATTCTATATGCCTGATTGCGGAATCTTTGAAGAAGATAATCATAATAAGTTGCAGCTTTCTGAAGGGCTCAAATCTCTTCCTAATGAGCTCCGATATCTATATTGGCATGGATACCCATTGAAATCTTTTCCAGTCAATTTCCACCCGGTGAACCTTGTTGAGCTCATATTGCCTTATAGCAATCTTAAACGACTTTGGAAAATATCCATGGTACGATTTTATAATATATTCAGTTCTTAGTTTTCTGTACGAGTATTTTGCTATATCAAATCATTATTACAGTTTTTTCTTTGAACAAATCATGAGGTTCAAGAACTCTGGTTTATTACCATTTCTCTTTCATTACAGGATCTTGGAAAGTTGAAGAAGATAGACCTGAGTCATTCCCAGCATCTTATGGAATTTCCTTGCCCATCGCAGGCCTCGAATCTTGTTAGTATAATTCTTACAGGCTGTACCAGTTTGCCTAAGAAGGTTCCTAAATCTATAAGCCGTTTCAGCATGCTTTTTTCCATAAATCTGATGGATTGCAAAAATATCAGGAGCTTTCCAAGTACTGTTGATTTGGAATTTCTTGATACAGTTGTTCTTGCTGGCTGCTCAAAACTTGCGAGGTTTCCTGAATTTTCAAGGAGCATAAGACACATAAATCTAGATAGAGCAGCAATAATAGAAGTGCCCTTGTCGGTAGGGTGCCTTGACAGACTTTGTGAATTGCGTGTCACAAATTGCACCAAGCTTGAGAGTCTTCCAAGCAGCATTTGCAAGTTAAAATCTCTTGGAATTATTAATCTATCTGGCTGCTCAAAATTAAAGAAATTCCCTGAGATCTTCGAAAACATGGATGGCTTAAGGGAACTTGTGTTGGATGGAACAGCCATTAAAATGCTACCATCATCAATCGAGCATCTAGTGGGGCTTTGTTCGTTACATCTGAATGCGTGCAAAAATCTTGCTGGTATCCCGGAAAGCTTGTGCAACTTGACAGCACTTCATAACCTTCATCTATCCGGCTGCTCAAAACTTGAGAAGCTTCCAAGAAATCTTAAGAATTTGAAACATTTAGAGGAGCTCAAAGCAAGTCGATGTGATCGGTTGGAAATTCCTGCTGACTTAAACTCTTTGTCCTCTTTATGCTCTTTAGATCTGAGTTGCAACAAGTTTGAGAGAATGCCTACTGCCATCAACCAACTTTTGGAATTGACATTTCTTGACATCAGTCGATGTGAAAGGCTTAAATCATTGCCAGAGCTACCACCACGTCTAAAAGTTATAGACGCATTTGACTGCATATCGTTGGAAACAATATCAAGCCTTACAGAACTCTGCCCGGTGGAATTCAAGAATTCTTTCTCAAATCCAAATTTCATGTTCACTAATTGCTTGAAATTGGATCAAAATGCACGGAATGATATTGTGTCACATGCTCTGCAAAAACTTAAGATTTTCAGCATAGGAGCGGAGTTTTATAATGAGGTCTCTCTCTCTCTCTCTCTCTCTCTCTCTCACCCCCCCCCCCCCCCCCCAGCCTTTCTTATTTCTCCATATCTTTCTCGTTTTCGGTCCATTAACAATTTTTTCTTTTTGGTTGTTACAGCTTAATCTTCAAGCACCTTCTGGTAGAATTTGCTATGCTGGAAGTGAAATACCAGAGTGGTTCCCATTTCAAAGTGTAGGATCTTCAATAACAATCCATCTGCCACCATTTGGACAAAATGGTAGGTTCTTGGGGTTTGCTTCATGCGCTATTGTTGAGTTCCAGAATTCTCATTGTGGTAGTGGGTTCTGTGGTCAGTTTGAAGCTCAGTTTCAGACCAAAAATGATTCTGGCCGAAGCTTGCTACCCTGTTTCATCACGCCATTTTCTATGCACTCGGGATATTTGGACGAATGCAGATCTGTTCAGTCCGAGCACGTGCTTCTATGGTATGAGAGTAAATTTTCTAATTTTGATTGGTGCACTGAAACCGGGCTCGGTCTCGGGGAACATTGGTACAACGAGGCCACACTTGAATTCCGTGCTACCCTGCCTCGTTGTGATTGCAACATTGAGTGCTGTAAGGTGAAGAAGTGTGGAGTCCTGTTACTATACGCTGAAGAGGAAGTGACAACAAGCACTGACTGATGAGGATGAAGAAGAAGAAGAAGAAGAAGAAGAAGCTAGCAAGAATAAGAGATGTCAGGATGACTGCGAAGGTGATGTGGAACTCGGCAGAAGTGACAGCTCCGAAGAGAAGGAAGAAGAACCAAAACCCTGAAAGATTGAAACATTAACGATCAAGGCTTCAGTGATGAGTATCACCATGTATGGAGAAGTAAATGCCTCCTTTTCAGCTCAGCATTTGGCTGCTGTAAGTAAAGTTTTATAAGAAATTTGGCTGTTGATCATCAGCATGTATACCGATCCATATTGAATTACAAGGAATCAGCAAAAAGATGTAACATGGCAAAGAATGGCTAGATATGGAGCTTTTTCAATTAAAAAAAAAAAAGGACAAATCAATCTAAGATTTAACATGGCAAAAGAATTCGAGAAAACACCAACTTAAAGAAGTATTTTATGGGCTCGAAAATAAATCAAAATTATTAATTAATTGATCAGCATGATGGATTTTTTTATTTTGATTTCTGGCAGACGGTTAATTTAAAAACGTTAATAATAACCAGTCCAATTTTTTTTTGTTTTTATTATTAATAATAATAACAATCTGTCCAATTTTGACAAAGAAGAAGGGCGAATCTGTGCTTTTTTAATAAGTAAAAGACCAAGGACCATATTATTGCATAAAAAATAAATAAATCCAAAACTCAATATGTGGTAAACTACATTTTTGCCTTTATAGTTTCACTAGTTTTCCACTTTCACCCTTTATTTTGAACTTTCCAATATTATCCATATATGTTTTAGAAAGTTTAAATTTTACCCTTTATTACTAAATAAAAAAAAAATTCATATACTTAATTTTTCATACTTTTCCCTAGATTTGTTTCCTCTCAAAACACTATGGATGTTAACATCTCACAAAAAACACTTGAAAACCTATAAAAAAAAAACCAAAAATTAAATTAAAAAAATAAAGATAAAGAATAGGCTATTTAATAATGATTGAAACTTTTGTTATTTTAATTTTTTATATTTTTCTCTATTTTTTCCCTCTCAAATACTTATATATGTTACATCTCACAAAAAAACTTAAAAATCTAAAAAATTGATAATTAAATTGATAATGAATAAAAACATTTGAACTTTTTTGAAACTAACTAAAAGGGTCATTGAAAATTTTCAAACCACAAGGAAATAAATGAAATACTGAAGAAGCTTAAGGATCAAAATGAAGTTTGGTAGTCTGAAAACGTGTCACTATCAGAGAAAATACCGACAAACCACTCTCCAGCTCCTTCCATATATGACCACCTCTCCCTCTCTCTGTCTTTTACTTTATCCATAACCAAATTCTTGCAGACGATTTCCCAGTATTTTCTGTGTCTTCCTTCCTCCTCCCGAAAACCCAAGAAAGAAAGTAAAAAAAAAAAAAAAAGACAAAAAACCTTTGATGGCTCGTTCTCTGTCCATTTCTCTTACAAAAGCATGTTACTTGACCTCTTCATCGTCGTCATCGCCAACGAGATATTCTTATCGTTTACTTACCCTTAGAGCCCAATCAAACATTCCTAACAGGATCAACCAATTAGAAACTGATGATTCTTCTTCTTCTTCACCCTCAGACCCTTTGCTTAGAATGCTAGAAGATGCAATCCATCGGATCATTGTGCGCCGTGCTGCACCTGATTGGCTCCCTTTCTTACCTGGATCTTCTTATTGGGTCCCACCTTCTAGATCTACATCTGGCTCTCTAGGGATTGCTCATCTTGTTGAGAAATTGGCTAATCCTTTGTCTGATGAGGAGTCCCTTTCTACCACTACTGTTAGAGGATGGCCCTCCTCAGATTATTTCGTTAAAGGTATCTTCTGATTGCTTTTCTATACACGTGCGTGTAAGATTTTGGGATATTGGTTTTGCTGGAAAACACTGATTGGATTATTTTTTGTTTTTGCGTATTGGAGATGGTTTTATCCATCCAATATGATATATTGGTACTGTAGCTTTATTTTGGATCTGCATGGTTGGGACTATTTTGATGATTGATGCTTTGTGGGAAATGGGTGATTTGAAATGGCTTCTGTTTCCTCGTAAAAATGCTTTCTTTGCCAAGTTTTAGAAGAGATGCATAGGAAGGAGGTTTGATATTTTGAATGTTTCACTTGTAAATATGAGATTTTGGTTATGGGTTAGGTTTTGGGGTTACTTTAGATGGTTGGATTGAAGAAAATGATATCTTGATGATGTACTTTCTTTAAAAGATGTTGGCGATTTATACTGTTTTGAAAAAGATCCTCTTTGCGGGCATTTCCTTTGCGTATATCGAGGAAGCTATAGAAAGAATTAGAAAAAAAAAAAGGACTTATGTTGATCATCTAATAAAGCCGATTAATTTGTTTCTTTGTTAATTGGGGCGTTTCTCATAATAGAGTTAGGAAAACGATGTAGTTGATTAGTATTGTACGAACAATAATCTCTGTTTAAGTGCTTCGTTGCTATTGTACAAGGTTATGCAGAACAATAATCTCATAATAGAGTTATTAAAACGATGTATTTGATTAGCATTGTACAAGGTTATTAATTTGTTTCTTTGTTTTTTCTCTGATTATAGGTGCACCGCTACATGTAGTGGAAGTGAAGTTGACTTCAAAGAAAGTAGAGACAGATACGGCTTCAAGTATTGTGTCTCAATCTGAGGATGAGGAAGGATAGATCATATTTCTTAGAAAGTTAGCATCTGGGTAAGTTTATTTATTGTTTGACAAGCAAGCCTTTTCACAAACTAGAATAGGAATTTTTGAATCTTGTTTCTTTTATTGACTGCTTATTTGGTATGTGTAGGCTCATCCAAACATGTAAATTTCATGTAGAATCAAGAAAAGTGAAACAAGTGGAACTCCAATTGAATCACAATTTGATCAACTAGAGCTGTTCGGATGCTAATTGGTGAAGTAGCAATAAGTTAGTTATTCCCGAATGAAAACTGCCTAGAACTATATCATTCACTGATGTATTCTGTACTTAATAACATTACTTACAGCTATGTTCCTGTCTAGTTTGCTGAATGTGTTGTATTTTGATTTTTAGTTCAGTTGCATGCTTTTGTACATATGTTTTAAGCAAATAAAATGGTGAATTTACTCTTTCACTCTCTCTCGATTTAATGGATTACTAGCTAATTTTGGCACTTTCCTGCTAATATTTAATTCTTTTTTGTTTATTGCTTGTACATGGAGGACAATTACCAAAGAAAAAAAATGTGGAAGCAGTGTAATTTTTTTTCCTTCTCCTCATTCTCCCCTATGCCACTCTCCCTTGGTGTTTGATTGTTGCGCTTACTTATGCTTCATGTTTTGTGGATTTCTTTACTTCGCGGGCCTGGCAATTCTTGGTGAGTCTGTTGTTTGAAGACTTCTTGGTATGGTAGTATGATGGCTTCTCAACAAAAGTCCTATGTGCTGTTGGAGGTACCAGAGCTGTCAGCAGTGCTAATTTGGATGCTCTTTGATATTTGATTCAAGAAAAATGTGATTCAGATGCTGTGAGTGCTTTTTTATTGGAGATGGTCAAGGTCATAAATTTTTATTGTTTTGTTGCCGGTGATGATAATACTCCATTCATGACATTTTCTCACTTGATGTAATTTCAATGTCTTGTGTACCATATTGTTGTCTGCTACTGCAGCTCATTTTTCCTCACAGTGCTGCTGTGTTTGATGCAATGAAGGTTCTTTGTGTTCTGTGATAGTTGGATGTCTCCTGATATGTCCAGAGCTGCAACAGCACCGTTTCTACCATGCTTTGTTTCTGACTGCCTGGTTATGGGTTGGATCTTTATCCCTCTATCCCAGTAAGGATGTGCAGGTTGCATCTGTTCTTTTTAGCATCATGTCTTCTGCAAGCTCAGATGCAGATTTGCTGATAATTCTTGCTTGAGTTGTTTTTCGCTGTCTTGTTCTTGTGATTGGCGATTTGCAGTACCCTAATCTAGTTTAGTTTGGTATTTTGTTGCAACTACCTAGTTTTTGCTGTATTTTGCCGCAGATCAGTCGTGCGCTCCCGGTCCCCATGCTGGCCGTCTCTGTTGATTGTTGCTTGATCTCGTCTTTCTCTATTTACCTCTGCTTAGCTGCTCGATCTTTTTTATTTTGTTGTATTTAACATTTTCATGCAATGAATTCTATACCTCTTCCTTGAATTAGTCTTCGATTCAAATCTATGTACTGTCTTCAACAAAATACCCATCTTTATTATTGCATCTCCTTGTTTATTTATGAGGTGATGGATGGGTTAATTTTATTTTGTACAAGTTAAAAATGCTCCCTAATTGGGAAAATCTTCGTGGCATATGCTTTTGTTTTTGTCAATCAATAAACTATATGAAAGTTGATAAATAAATCTTTTCTAATTCGTACTTATACCTGAATGTGTTTCGCATTTATTTGTTTGTTCAAACAATTGAAATTTAATGAGCCCAATAAATGCATTGCTTGCGTTACGTTATCTTTTATAGAGTTTTTAACAAATTATAAAAAGATAAAAAGTGGTTAACTTCTATTAATATATCAAATTACATATAATGATAATTAAAAAAATTAGATCAATTTTGCTTAAAAATCAATAATTTAATATTCAAATTACACAATTTGATATTAAGGATCTAAAATTATCAAATCGTAATAGAATTAGGACAAAATTTGTCATTAAACCTTAAATGGTAAAATACCATCTTCGACGTGAACTAAAAAACAAGTACTTCCGAATCAAAAAATTCTGATTTTGTCGTGTAAATAATATGTTTTTTAAATATATTATTTTCTTAGGTTTTTATTGAGAAATTGATGAAAAAACCATACAAATTCTTCCAATTCCTAAGCTTTTTTAATGAATATTACTAAATATTCTATCTCCATTAATATTACTTATTACTCAAGGAAAAAAATAGTCCATCTGAGAAAGACATTAACTGACTAAACTTGAAAATAACAGGTGATCGTTTAATGTTCTTAATTGAGAGCACTATTAATGGTAAGAAACAGTTTCCTGAAAAAGGATACGTAATGCAACTGTATGTGTAATTAACTCCATTTTTAATTATTTGTTACTGAAAGATCAGCAACAGTTTCCTGAAAATCTCTATCTTGGTTTTGGTTCACCCTCGTTGCTTTTCCATATAAATGGTCCACAAGCATTGATTTCAGCCGTAAGTAGTAATACAGAAAAAGACAAGTTAAATATGGTATTAATTATGAAGGTAAGTAGGGCTCTGTTTGTATCATCCTTGTTGCTAATAGCAGCATGTAACATTATGTTGGCTCGTTCCAGCCGAGTCGATTCCTTTCGTATACCTGAACTCGTACCCTTCCCTGTTCATGGCCTAGCACCGTTTGCAGGTATAACCCTACCAGGCCTCTTGCCACCAGGAATCAGTCCAGAATGCAAGGTATCTCTTCTGAGTGTGCAAAAATGTGTTTCTACAATGGCTGTATCGCTTCAATCACTTCAAACTTCAGTATATGGCGGAGTTATTGGAGGTTGCTGCTCAGCTTATGATGGAGTCCAGGACCATTGCTGGCCTGTAATCTATCCAAAGGATCCCCACTTTCCTCGGAGAGTCCGCAGATACTGTCTTCATATGGAGAAAAATTAAAAGAGAGTTGGCTGCATCTCAAAGAGTTGGATCCATGCTGCTAATGGGAATTTCTCCATGGACACTTCTTCTCAAAATCGGCAGACAATAATTGATATGTTAGTGAACAACTAGCACTGTACTGGAACTTTAAAAGCACCACGTTATTTTTTAAGTTCAAAGGTTTTATATTTTTCTGATTAAAGTTCTAAAGTTCATGTTTTTACAGTGCAACAATCCTCCGAGCCATATCGTTAATTACTCGCACAGTTCATTGATGCAAATAGCAATATTGTCATATTACTAAACTCAAAAGCTCTATTGCTGCTAAGTTCACACGTTCTTTATGGACAAACAAGAGTTGGCATAACCTTGCTGACAAAACATATGAAAATGCTGTCTAAATCAACAAATTTTAACATACTATATATAACTCATGAAGCTGATGACTGAATTCACGATAATGGTTGAAATACATGCACGTGTAGAAATATATATAAGACAAACCACACCTTTAGTGGTTGTGTAGTTTGATTGAGAAAAGATCAGCTTCAGGCATGAAGTTTATCAAAATTCAAATGCCATGTTAAAAAATGAGACAAACTGCAGGATTGTAAGACCTTGAAACGGTAGTCTGCAGAATTTAAATATGTACACTATGGACTGATGTATAAATTCATGGAGACCGGATCAGTACCAGCACAGGATCACAAGACCTGAAAAAAGAATGCGAGAAATTTGAGAAATGAGCTCCATTGATGCATATATTCGCTTAAGCAGTGTGCTAGTGCAAGCATCATAGATTAAAAATGATCTGGTATCAATAAAAAAAAAAGCACACAAAAGGAATCTGTACACACTTATTCTCAGACCAAATCTATGATCAAGATATTTGATCTGTATGGGGCGGAAGATGACCAAACGAATGAGAAATTGATCGGCATAAGAAGTAAATAGAAGTTGAAATTACTTGCAGAGTACACAGAGGTGACGAGAATTATAGACTAATATAGACCCAACATTCTTAGCTCTGAGACATGACTGGCTCCAAGTTCAGGGGCATCCTTGCTAGCTTCTCTGTCTTCCACCACATATTCCTGACATTATGCAAGTACCGCTGTCATGATACTTTTGGATAGGCATCTAGAACACAGAGAAAATCGCAGGGCCCAGAAATACAAAGTAGAACAAAATCCACATGTAACTATAGAAAAATGTTTTCCGCCAGGGAAAACCTGCTTCAAAAGAAAATGATCCACTAAAAGAGAAGTACAAAGAATTTTAGCAACAGTTTTCTAGTTAATTCTACCATACAACAACTTCATTGCAGCTGGTTTTAGAAACTCTAAATGCTTTTAAGGACAAGATACCAGACCTTTGTAAGTTCTTGTTTGGCAAGAACATGATAGTGGCGCTCACTGATCCTTTGTCCACATATTATAGCAATGAAGAAACCATAGAGCAAACCCACCAAAACAATTGCTAAAACTGCATAAAAATATTGAAGTAAAAATCAGCGACAATGAGGGAGCACAAAATTCTCACAAAAAAGGTAGCAGATCTGAAAATGCCACCAGTCATGCAGTCTTTCAATCTTCCAACAATCAAAGATAGCATTAATTCACAACAAATTATTAAAATTTTAACCAATTTTCTCAGCAAATTATTTATGTTCTCAACTTTATTATCCTCTAAAAAACAAAAAACAAAGCTGATTTTGTGCGCCCCACACCCCCCCCCGCGCGCGCGCGTGTTTAGTAGAATGGGCTATTGAAAACAGAACATTGTATAATAAACAAGGCCAGGATCAATGCCTAGATTTCACCGCTCAATTGGTCAGACTAAGCCTGGTTTGATAATATTCATATTTATAACCTAGTTGCCACCTCACCCATCATTTTCTTTTCCTAAAGGTCCATCAAAATAAATGTGCTTGGCAAATGATATGATAGTAGCACTCCAGATAAAAAAGAAAAGTGTTTTCAAGTTTAAAGAGCAATTTCTTTAGAGCATCAGCAACTTTAGACAGAGAAAATTAACTTATATGGCTTCTAGTTTTTCTCTTATTGCGGGAAAATTTACTTTGTTCTCTTAACATTGCTTTGGAGTTGCTCAGGTGATATTGGGTGTAAGAAAGACTTTCCCCTACATCCTTATTTTTTGGAACCAAGCTGGATTTTGGTAAAAAAAAAAAAAACTCAAGGTTGATTGACAAGCAAAACATGCAATTATTGACAATACACATACAGTGAAGAGAGAGTATAGTCAATCAAAACCAGGGCGGTGCATACCAGCCATAGTATAGAACCCATAGGGATGCTCTTCATAGCCAAACATTTCCCTTAGTTCCTCCCCGTAGAACTTGTACACCAGCACACCCAAGAATGCAACAATCTGTTCAGAACATTGATTTATTAACTTATTAACAAAGAAAAACAAACCTAAATATAAAACAAAATTTGGCCAATTATCTCACCAAATCAATCCCTTATGTGCAGTAGGAAATGCATATGGGGAACTAAACTGGTATGAAAAGGGATCCTTTAAAGCGTTTCAAACAAAAAGGGAAGAGAAATAAGTTCACTAGCTCACATTTTTTACCCTCCATATCTGTTCATATGGTTCTTCGGAAGAATATCAATGCAAATTTCCAAACATAGACAAATTTGGGTCAACCATGCATGAGTGCATGCAATCACACATAATTATGCATACACGTGTGCGAGTACAAATGCATTTTTTTTAATCAGCTGGGATTCTTTTCATTAAACCTACTTAGGTCTGCTCGGTTTCACACCAAACAATACTTCAATTTCCATAACTGTGCTGACATAATCTACAATTTCAGAGAGTGCTTTGTAGTGTATGCTATTGCAGAAAATCATGTCAAATATACCCCGACATACTTTTCAATTAGTTACCTAACCCAAAATAAACAAGAAGAAAAAAGGAAGAAACTCACACTTAATACCCACAATAATGATACCTAATCAACATTCAGATTATATAACCAAATTTAACTAATATGGAAAGGATGATTGTCATACCAGCTGAACTACTACAAAAATAAATGCATGGTCCCTGGCAACAAGGAACTGAAATTTCAATCTCAACCACCATCGGTCAGCTGGGACATTTGCCCGCAATATAAACATTGCTCTGCATTCTGTACAGTGAGCAAAAGCAAAGCCCTCCTGAAAATGAATTACAAGAATTATCATTGAATCAAACTTACTATTATCACTTGCATACATGTAAGCAATGGCAGGTTACAAAGAAAGATCCAAAGGCTCAACATGATTATCCTAAGTCTCAAAGTTCCACACTCATCACTCTCAAATCACGAAAAAAGGGATGCTGGAGAGAAACAAGCATCTACCTTAGTTGACCTCCAGTTATCAAGACATGACCTATGGACATATTTCTGAGTGCCTTTGCAATGACATGGTGCAATCAAGTCTTCCCCTGAAATAAATTAGCACAGGCTTCAGCTGCATTGGAATAAAAACAAAACACCAATTTACAATCACATGTCACACACATATTACTTGCACTCCAAAACTATTCACTGAATTTTTAAGAAATAAACAAAAACCTGCCATGTCAAATGACAATGACAAAATTTAAGAAATGAAAAAAAGGGTACCAAGCACAGTAAATAGGAGAGACCTCCATTATCGAGGCATATACGGCACTGCAGCTGGTCCGTATTCACCAGATGGCAAGTTTCATCAATGCGAATACTCTCTAAATCATCAACATGAACATCACAATCCCTTCCTAAAGATTCAATTTCACGAGAGGACGATGATTCTTCTTCTGATTGCTGCGAAATATTAGATTGGGATAAGATGGGTTCACTTTCTGAAATATCTTCCTTGTGACTATCATTTGACACTAATTGCATTGCGAACAATATTGAATCAGGATCGAACTTTCAACATCATTGCCAGACCTACAATGTGCACAGAACATCTCAGCAGAAACTACGCATCCTGCAAGCAAATTAGAAAATGGGAAAAGTCACATAACACAACATCATGAGATAAATGCCAAGTCAATAATGACAAGAAAGACAATCGCCGATATCAAATATCCATATTTCATAATATAAACAGGAAGATGATAATCTTATTTAAAAATGAATAAAAACACTATCCAAGCTTTCCATCCACACGCATTAAAAGTACAACATATACAACAAATCTAAAGAACCCAGTTTTCAAATCAGATAAACATGTATTCTAGACAATCAATTGCTCATAATTTTTCATTCTGCAAACAAGTACTATACAGCAGACAGCAAGCTAAAGATCATAACTTTACTCTACAGTCAAAAACCAACATGTAGTTCATTAGACCAATGGCTTGCAGATTGCAGAGAAGGTCAAACTTAGCTCAAACTCTGTCCACACTCACAGAATTGAAAAAAGCCAATAACAATTCAACACCAAAAATTCAATCTTTACATTATCAAAAAATAAAAAAAAGTTCTAATCTTTACACAAAACAATTCAGAGAAAATAATATAAACACATAAAAGTTTGAAAACTGAGAAAATTTAAATATGGGTCTAACCTGATGTTTAACAAAACATATTTGCATTCCCTTGCAGTGTATTTGAGATTTTGTGTGTTTAGCCAGTTTAGGTTTTCCTTTGTAGATTGTCAAGTTTATGCTAAGGAACAAAAAAGAGAGAGAGAGAAAGAGCTAGATAAATGGTAGGTAAAAGATTAATAAAAAACAAAGAAGAGAAGACCATAAGCCTTGAACTCACCGGAATTATTATTAATATTGTTATCATCAGTCCTATTTTGATGAAAACCGATACCAGAATTATAAATAGCTTATTGTATTATAATACTTATGATATAGTTACAACTCTTTCGTTAATATTGCATGACAGGCGACTTGCTTCAGTCCATGTCATGTAAAGAACAAGGGTGGACTGTTGATGCGTTACGTGTTTTGTTGTAATTGGTCTGTGATGTGCCTGTTTTATGTAGGTAAAGATTTGTCGTCGACAAATACTAGGGAGGAACCTACCCCAGAGAGAGGGAGAGATTTGGAGGCACACGATTAAGGTGTATCTATCTAATCTATTCTAATATTTTGCATCATTTAATTCAATCAATAAATAAACAAATCAATTTGATTCTGTCCTTTCTTTTTGTTGTTGTTAATACTCATTCCCTTTAATCAACTTGCCTTTTTTTTTTATATCCATAAAGTTAATGTGCCTATGAATTTTTAAAATTGTTCGAAAACTATCATTGACGTATGAGTTGATCCGAAAATATATTTTACTATCAAATAATTTTTTTAAATTAAATCCTTAACTAATTGGATTTTCTCAATTGAATTCCTTTTTTTAAAAAAAAAAAAAGGGGGTGAAACATGCTTCGTGTATTATCTATTATTTTTTATTTAAAATTTAGAACAAATTAGTCATTTTCATATAACTTTGATCAATCTTATGATGATACATAACTAACAAAAATGGATTAAAAATAATTTTTTTCAATTTTGAATAGCACATAATTTATTTAGTACTATATCAAGGTAAAAATGTCACATAATTTATTTAGTACTATATCAAGGTAAAAATGTATTATCTACTATCATGTTCTAAAAATTTATTTCAAAATTCATATATATAGAAAAATAAATCAAAACTGTCAGTATATATAATTTTAAATTATTTGGATGAGAATTTTTTAAAAAATGACAAATTAAAGTAGTAAATTTTAAATAATAAAAATAATTAACAAAGAAACGAAAACAAAATTGGATCAAATTACAATACAATTAAAATTTAAAATTGAAAAAAAATATAGAAAAATTGAAGAGCATATAATTTTAAATTAATTGAATGAAATTTTTTAAAAAATGATAAATTAAAGTAGTAAATTTTAAATAATAAAAATAATTAACAAAAAATACTAAAACAAAATGGGACCAAATCACAATATAATTAAAGTTTGAAATTGAAAAAAAAAATTAAATGACAAATTAAAGTAGTAAATCTTAAATAATAAAAATGATTAACAAAAAATACTAAAATAAAATAGGATCAAATCATAATACAATTAAAGTTTGAAATTGAAAAAAAAGTATAGAAAATTTGAGGACTAAAGTGTTACAAAAATGCTATAAATAGTGAAAGAAATAATGATTTGTGAGTGTGTAAATAATATTTCAAATAGTAAAACCAATGGTTTTACTTTAGTTTTTAGTATAATATAATATATCCTTCACAAATTTGTTATCTAACCGATATTTATTAGATAATTATTGATTTTTTTAAAGTAACTAATAATATTTGTTTTTATAAATGAGTAATAGATACCTAAGAAAATTAAGAAAAAAATGAGTTTAGATGGGTCGGACATACTTTTTGCCTCTTATTTTTATGTATGCTTCTCTCTTCAAAATTAGGTTATAGAAAAAGTATTAGTTGTTACTCTTTAAGTAATTTAAAATTTTTCATTTGATTATATATTTGATTTTGTATGGTTGCATCATTTACTTTTCTCTTTCTTTTTTTTTCGGAAAAAATAAAAAATTCAAAAGAACTCACCACTATTCATAAGAAATATATAATAAAATTTACTTAAAATTTTTCATTAGATTATATATCTGATTTTGTCTGGTTGCATCATTTACTTTTCTCTTTTTTTTTTTTTTTTTTTTTTTGGAAAAAAACTAAAAAATTCAAAAGCACTCACCACTATTAATAAGAAATATATAATAAAAATTACTTAAAATTTTTCATTTGATTATATATCTGATTTTGTCTGGTTGCATCATTTACTTTTCTCTTTTTTTTTTTGTTTTATTTTTGGAAAAAATAAAAAATTCAAGAGCACTCACCACTGTTCATAAGAAATATATAATAAAAATTACTTAAAATTTTTCATTTGATTATATATCTGATTTTGTCTGGTTGCATCATTTACTTTTCTCTTTTTTTTTTTTTTTTTTTTGGAAAAAAACTAAAAAATTCAAAAGCACTCACCACTATTAATAAGAAATATATAATAAAAATTACTTAAAATTTTTCATTTGATTATATATCTGATTTTGTCTGGTTGCATCATTTACTTTTCTCTTTTTCTTTTTTTCTTTTTTTTGGAAAAAACTAAAAAATTCAAAAGTACTCACCACTGTTAATACGAAATATATAATAAAAATTACTTAAAATTTTTCATTTGATTATATATATCTGATTTTGTATAGTTGCATCATTTGCTTTTCTCTTTTTGTTTTTTTTTTTAATTTTTGGAAAAAACTAAAAAAATTCAAAAGTACTCACCACTGTTAATAAGAAATATATAATAAAAATTACTTAAAATTTTTCATTTGATTATATATATTTGATTTTGTCTGGTTGCATCATTTACTTTTCTCTTTTTGTTTTTTCATTTTTGGAAAGAACTAAAAAAATTCAAAAGTACTCACCACCATTAATAAGACATATATAATAAAAATTATTTGATGAGTAATTAAAAAAAAAAAAACGTAATGTACGAGGTGGCTTGTGAACTAATTTGATTCATAAAAAAAATAAAAAAATAAATAAAAAATCTTGTAATTAAATTAATGTAATTGAAGAAAATCATTGGAGACCCAAAAAGAGTAGGGGTAGGTGAACATGGATGTGGTCAAGCTGTTCTGACTTATTCCTCGACAACGATGCACTTGGTCGGCATAAATATTTACTTGTAAGTACTTTTTTTTTTTTTCCAATCTTAAAATACATTTATTAACAAGTGCTGATAGATTAAATTGTTACGATAACCTCGGATGGTTCGGATCGCGATTGTTTTTTTTTACCATCGGATTCTACCTTGCTTAAGCCATGCAAGTGATGACTAGAAAATGCTCCAACTAAGAGCAGGGTAGCTGACACCTGAACCCAGGACCGTTAGGTTTATACCTGCATTTCAAACAAAAACTCCCGGGAAAGAACATCTAACAGAATACGAACAACAACATTAATTAATCTTCCAAGGAGTTGGAGATAGATCGAGAGAGAGAGAGAGAGCTGTCGAGAGGAAGAAGTTCAGAGATTCTTCATTGATGGGGTTTGGTTGCGTTTCTCCATCATCTTCCCCACCAACACCACCAACACCTCTTCCCGTAAGTGTTGGACCTGGAAACCTGACGTACAATTTCTCTTGCTCCCCCTCTCCTTCACCGCCCTTTTCCCCGCCTCTTTCTAGCCGCACATCTCCTGAAAACCTCCCTCTTTTGCTTCAAAAGTTGGATAGTCCTAGACGGGTTCCTTCGGCATTTTCGTTGGATCGGCCGGACCCCGATGCATCAGATTCTAAAAGTTCTTGCCTTCGAGACTTGTAAGCATATTTCTTCCTTCATGATAAATTTCCAGTAGTTTATCCAAGCATATACAGCTCATGCCATTAACTACATTTTTACAGCTAATTCTATGTTTTTCTTCTCTCTTTTTTTTGCTGGTGTCTTGCATGGCATTCAAAGAAATGAATCTTTTTCTGTTCCTTCATTCGTTTGGTGTCATCTCTACTTGCATCATACTTCAGACAAAAAAGAATACAAAGAAACGGAAATTCATGTCAAATCGACCCAGCAAACCCCTCATTAGTTTTGATCGAGCTTGCTTGGATCTTTTTGAGTTTTGACTGGTAGGTGTTTCCTTCTTCCTTTCCGTTGAAATACATGGACCAACCAGTCAAAAGCAGGTCAAGGTGAACCAATGACAGTGGAATCTGCCCCTTCTTGACCGATAGGAAAAATGCAAACGGTAATTCAACCATAGGCAAAATATCCCAATATAATATAATACTACTTTTACCTCATTAGCAATTCTTGATTTAGATTAATCTAGCTTGCACTAAGAATGGAAGAAACCAAGAATGGAGGAAGATC